TTCCTCTCTCTCTCTCTCTCTCTCTCTCTCTCTCTCTCTCTCTCTCTCTCTCTTTCTCTCTCTCAAATCTCATGTAGCCCAGGCTGGACTTAAATTTGCTATGTAACCAAGAATGACCTTGAACTTCTGAAGTTCCTGTCTTCACTTTCTGGAGTCCAGGAGTTGTAGGCATGCACCACGAAGCCAGATTTATTTATGCAATGCAGGGGATCAAACACAGGGCTCTGGGCCTGCTAGCCACATCCTCTACCACGGAGCTACAGTCCCAGCCCTGATACTTAGATGCTTTTAAATTTGGGCTGGTTTCTTTGTTTGTTTTTTAAGACAGGTCTCTCTATATAGCCCTGGCTGTCCTGGAACTCACTTTATAGACCAGGCTGGCATTGAGCTCACAGAACTCCCCCTGACTCTGCCTCCAGAGTTCTAGGATTAAAGGCCTGCGTCACCACACCCAAATGGCCTTTTTTCTTTTTTGACAACTTTCTTGCCATGATAAGTGGGTTGTGCTACAGTGACTAATCCATCCAAACAAGCCACAACACAGTGACTCTCAGGTGATTCTGTGTGGCCACTTCTAGGCTTCTTCTAGAATGTATGTGAGGCTATTACGTGACACATATATAATTTCTAAATTCACTATCACCTCTCGGGAACCTTCTGAACAGAAAGCTTGGACATTAGAGCTTGGCAGGTGGGACTCCACATCTGGCTTCATCTAGTGCTCACTAAAAAAGAGGAACAGATACCTACCAAGTGCTGGGGCTCAGTGAGAAGCTGGGAGCTACTTCCTCTCCACCCATTCAAGTGGAAGAGGCACACCTAGATCAGGCAACCCAATGGCCGATAGATTCTAGGTCGTCATCGTAGGGAAGACAAAGCACGCTGATAGCAGAGCCAGAGTGCCTAAGGGACACATCTCTTCTTCCATGTCCCCATCTGCTAGACTGCTAAGGAAGGGTTGGGGGTGGACGGTACCCAGGAGAGAGAAAAGGAAGAAAAGAGAAGCGGTTCAGATAGCTAGGGGGTCAGAGTGTCAGCACAGGCGGCCTCAGGCAACACCAGTTAGCCAAGCCTCGCAGGGACAGAAGCTGCTACTCACCGGGGCCCCAGCCTTGCCTGCTGTCCCTTAGCATCCTCCCCTCTACCTCTCGTCTCTTTTCCATGGGTTCCCCCCACACTCGAGATCTCCCAGAGTCCCATAGATACCTGTGGATGAGGCAGACTGATACTTCAGGAGTGGAGGCCAATCATGAACAATCAGAGCCCCCCCCTCCCACACACACACCCTCCCACGTGTTCTGGCTGGGAGCATTTATAGGTCTCCAAAGACGGGAAAGTGAAAAGCAGTTGTCACCTGAAATCTGGGGGCCCCAGGCAAGGCAAGGGTCACTCTGTGAGGGCTGGCTGGGCAGACGCAGGCTCCAGGTTGTGCCCAGCCCTCCCGAGCCTCCTGTTAGCTCACTCAGGAACAAGCCGAACTCCCGGGAACCGAGCAGCAGCAGTGAGTGACAGCAGCGTGTGCAGCCTGGGACCAGCCAAGAGCAGGCTGGGGAAGGCCACCCAGAGCTGCCGGGGAAGCGGGAAACAGAGCAGGGGTGGGGGTGGGCAGGCCTGAGCCTCACCTGGTGCCGAACCCTCCCACCCCAAAGGCTACTCCTTCGTCCTTTCCCCCCAACCAACTCACAGGAATCATTTGATAATCATGCTCATTAGTCAACGACATGTTCGTGTAACAGCCCCTACAGAAAAAACACAATCCTGTCTACCCCCACCCCCACCCCCCAACACAGACTGCCACAGGTCCCAGAACGGCCTCAAACTCCAAATATTGAGTCTTTGGCTTCACCACCTGAGGGCTGGAATTAGAGGTGTGTGCCACCATGCCCAGTCTCTGCAGTACTGGGAATTGAACCCAGGACTTTGTGTCTGCAAGGCAGGTACTCTACCCACTGAGCTACAGCCCCAGCCTGATGATCTTTCTGATAGAGCAGTCGTAAAGACTCATAAGGAAAAACGATTCAAGAGGATGAACTATCTGGCCTGGGTGGAGACCTGAGAGGCCAGTTGGGTAGGTCAATGGCCATTTGGTTAAGGGACCGCCTCTTAGGAAGACAGGTTCATCTTAAACCATACTGAACAGATTGGAGACTGAGACAGATAGCAACCACCCAGAATTCCTTGAAGAGGACTGCACTGACCCGGAGCTTGAAGAGTGTGGAGTACCTGAGTGTGGGTTATATACATGTTCAAATACCACACACATGCATATATATAATAATACAGATATATTCCATGTCCATCGCCCCCCCCAAAAAAAAAATCCTATGGTTCCAACTCTATCTAGAAAAGAGCAAATACAGGACTCCAGGGTCTGACTCACCTGTGGACCAGTCAGTCACACTGGGGAAGAGAAAGCTAGTGTTAGGGGGGCAGAAACGGAGGAGACCCCTTCCTTAGCAAGCACTACACCGACCACGCCCACCAGAATCAAATGCACCCATCAAGCCACTGTGCCCCCTCCATTGTCAGCCCCAGTACTGACTGCCCCACAGCAACTTTGTCTGTCTCTGGCTTACAGCTGTGCCACAACCACCTCAGCTGAGAGAGGGTCCCCCTGCGGTTCTGTCCCTATTCAACAGACAGACAGCTGGCGCCCACCCTTCTCCCCAGGCACCGGCCCCCGTGGAGCTGTGCTTGAATGGTCTCTTCAAGCTGACGTTTTAACCCATTCCTGAGTGACAGCTACTTACCCAATGAGCACGGCACCCCCTTCCCTCACGTGCTTTGTCCCTGTACAGTTGCAAATGCCACTGGGTGGAAGGGGATGTCAGGGTGGCTTCAGTGAGGGACAGTGTGACTCTTATTGCATTCCCTCTGGGAAGATACCCCCAAGCCCCTCCTCTAGCCCCGGCAGGGTCAGGAGGAGCAGCAAATGTTGTTCTACCAATGCCACGCGTCCACCAGAATCCACGTCCGCTGGAGAGCCACCCGTCATGCTCAGTGCCATCTCTGTTGTGAGAGTCTCCGTGAAAAGCCCCTGTGTTATGGCTCCCGGCTCCAGCAAGGGCTTCAGTACAAGGTCCTCATTCATTCAAGACTCACCATTCTTGGACACACAGGCTGCTGGCTCCCTGAGGGAAATTGCCTGGGTGCAGAGTGATCTTCCCACTTGGCATCTGAAGGGGCCCAAAGCAAGCTGATTGAAATCCCCCTCGTCACCCCAGTGGCCTTCTGGGAAATGCTGGCATGGCTCAAAGCACCGGGCCAGGCAGTATATACCAGTCAGCCAGTCTCTGAGGAGAGTCCATGTATCTCTTTTAGCATCTCTGTGAGCCTCCAAGCTCCTGAGCCACAGGATGTCAATGGCAGGATTCACAAAGCTTACAGAAGAAACTTTATCCTCTGATAAGTTAGAGGCAGATGTGCTGCTTCAAAGATACCTAGACCTGAGGACGGAATGGAAAGCCGGTTCTAAGGAAAGGGGCAGCTGGAAAGGTGTTTGTTTGCTTGCTTGTGTAGCACTAGGGATAGAGCCCAGAGCCTTGCACAAGTGTTCTGCCACTGAGCCACACCACCTGTCCCGATAATTGACTTCTTTGAGCTCGAGTAAGCTATTTTGGCAAACTGTTTATGCTGCCAAAGAACCCCACACTGGCTCTCAAATCTCGAAAGTACATCAGAATCATCTAGAAGGTTTATGAAATAATACTGAGCCCATCCAGGAAATGGCTCAGGAAATGGATCGGGGGTCTATGTGGAAAAGGAGGAAAGAACCACAGGCGAGGGATGACTCCAAGGAAGCAATGTCTTCCAGACACAACAGAACGGATGCACACAGGAACTCAGAGAGACTGTGACAGCGCACACAAGACCTGCACGGGTTCGAACCAGGCAGAGTCTCGGCACTGAAAAGGGGAAGTGGAGGTGGGGTCCCACCCTAGCCAAGAAATGATATGCAGTAGATACCTGCTGGGAAAGGAAAGACCGTTTTCTCCAGTGGAGTGTCCAGGACAGGTCCCAGGCTCAGAAGGAGCTGGGCAACACAAAATTGACTCCATGTTTTTCTACTCGGATTTTGTTTAGGAGTTTGTTTTGTTGTTGTTTTTTTTTCATCTGTTTGTTTTGTCCTATTGGCTTTTATTTGTTTGTTTGTATTTTATTATTTTTGTTTTGTTTTGTTTTTGAGAGAGAAAGAACAGAAAGTTGGGTAGGTAAGGAGGTGAGAAGTAGTTGGGAGTAGGTAGGGGAAGGGAAAAGAATATGATCAAAACACACTGTGTGAAAATTTTTTTCAAGAATTATGGACTGGGCTGGAGTCTGACAATCCACATTCCTGACAAGTAGTTGGGGACCCTCACTTTGTGAACCACTGGAGTAGAGTCTCCTCAGACTTCAAGGGTTACACACTGTCTGAGACAACTAAAACATACTTCCCAAAGACAGTTTCAGAACAAAAAGCACCAACTGAGGCAGCCACGATAGCATGGGGACCTCTGTGGGGCAACAGCAGAGCTGTGGGACACCAGAACATCAGTGCTCCGTGAAAAGGACCCTCAAAGCTGGCTGGGACCCACATGGTGGACACAGACAACCCCAGCTGCCCTTTGCTTCATGAGAATGGTGTCTCCGTGGCGATGGAGATCTCACTCTGGGCTCCCAGACCCAAGTGATTGCCAAGGGAAGAATTCGGATGAGGTTCACAGGAGCACGGAAGGTAGGCAGACTTTACTACAGAGTAGAGAAGAGGGCATGCTCCAGGAGGAGACCGGAGGATGGCCAAAGGGGACTCTGCGTCAATCTTCAGGTCACACAGGCTTTAACTCCTTCTAAAGTCTCTAGAATAGGCAGTCTTCCCTAAGGGCTTTTTCCTGTCCAGGTGATTGACAGGCACATTTGAACTGACTCTTCCAGGAGGGGAAAATGGGATGTCTTTGATCTTTATCATAAAGCCTCCTTCTAGAAGGTAACCCTGTAAGGCTTAGCACTCCTGAAGCCAGGTTTAGATAGTTATCTATTAATGACCCTACGGGCAGTTGGAATGTCACATTTCCTGATGGGCCAGCAATATGATTCAGGCCTCTGAGCAGCACACAGAGCCCAGCAGCTCCCTGCTTGATGGGACAGGCTGTGGAGGGAAAGGTCCAGCCCCAGGGTTCTCCGAGCCTGCTGGCTGGTATCTGCCGGGTTTCTAACAGCATCGTTGGCCTGGCAGCATTGGCTGGGCCCATCTTGCATCTGATACAAATGATGAGAACAGAAGATTAAAAACTGGTCAGGCATTCAAGGGAGGAACCTCAAAAGGTGAACATCTCTGCTTTTTGTCCTTGCCAACCAGTTCTGTTTTGACCAGACGCCAAAAATACCCTCAGTTCTATCAGCATTGTGTCCTGGCCAGAGACCGGAAATACAAAAAGATGTCTAGAGGCACTGGCTTGTGTCCTGGAGCCTAGCACTTACCTTTCTCCTTCTACAATCCTTCCCCGGAGGACTCTCCGGCCGGAGGGAGCTCTGCTTGCTTTCTCCAGAGCGCTCTCCTGTAATAAAACTCCTTTCCCAAACCCGTCCTTCCATTGTCCGTGATATTCCTTCTTCAAGTCTGCAAGACCAAGAACTTGGAGGCCACTGGGGTGGGGTGGCTTTGGTGGCTACTGATTGGATTATCTGAGACCTTAGCTCTGTCACTTCTGAGTTTTAGAGTTGGAAGGCTGAGTGGGAAAGACCCCAGGGCAGCCAGGGCTGTCAGAGAAGCTCGCTAGGGAGACTCAAGCAGGATGACAGACAGATGATCCATGAAGAGGAGTCGGGAGCACACAAAACGCAGGGATAGGGTGAAGGGACGCTGCAAGGGTGTTCAGGTGCCAGGGGTGCCACTTTCCAAGGCGGCAGTGGCAGGACTAAGCTTGTGTTTGCAATGTTGGCAGCAGGAGGCAGCAGGAAGAGGCCAAGCCTTCCTCCCAGCAGGTCACGGCAAAGAGGGAGGCCATTCCACAGGTGATACGGGGGTTATCACTGCCAACCTCTCCTGCAAAGATGACCTGTGAGATGCCCTCCAGTCTTCTCTCTCTCGCCTTCCTGGGGAACAGGTGACCCCCAAGACCCAGTTTTCTGTGGAGGAAGGACAAAGAAGGTGATTAAATAAAGGGACACAGAGAGGGCCTCAGACATTTGTCTAGACCGCCAGGAGACCCTGAGTCCCCAGTGTCACTTTGCCTCAAGATGTCTTTCTGTTTTTGTTTTGGGGACAATGTCTCGTGTAGCTCAAGCTGGTCTTGAACCCTATGTAGCCAAGGATGGCCTTAGATTTCCGATCCTCCTGCCTCCGCCTCCTGAGTGCTGGGATTACAGGCATGTGCTACCACAGCTAGTTTTCTGTGGTACTCAGGTCTTGGGTGAGCTATGACCAGCCTACCCACTGAGCTACATTCCAACCCTGAGATGTCTTAAAGGGAGGGATCTGTGGGACCTTGCCCGTCTTCGTCCCCCACGATACAATGACACCCTATTCCCTCTTGTTCAGCCTCCAGTGAGAAAGGAGAACAAAAGAGCACAGAGCAGAAGGAGGGCTCCTCCATGGCCTGATTCAGAGCTTAAATATTCTCACTGACCTAGCATGGCAGGGGCGCTTGTCTACTCCGCCCGCCCTAGGTGGCTACTCACAGGGGAGGGGGGGGGGCGGAGGTGGAGAGCTTCACTGTGCAGTGCAAACGTCCCTGACTAAGACGGGAGAGCCACGAACAAGGGCCATGACCCTTCCAGTACACCCAAGTATCTTTTACCTGGCAGCAAGCACATGGGCCGCACAGGAAGATTCCTAATTTCTTCCAGCTCGGATACGAGCTTTAATGGAGCGGGCAGCAGGCCAGGCCCAGCCTAGCTAAGATAGCTGCCATCCCCAACCAGGAGAGCGGTGGAGTGGAGCCAGAGGGGTGAGGGAGCTGCTGGAGGAAGGAGGCACTTTGGAAATTCCTTACATTTTTCTGCCCTTTGTCTCTGGGCATTGAGATGGAGAGCCACATTTGACTCCGTTCCAGTTCCCATCTCTCCTTTGCATTCAAAAGGAAGACCCTGGCTGAACACCAGAGAATCCCCTGGCTCTTTTTCATCTCAGTGGAAACCCAGAGGCGTGAGGTAGAGGGGCTGGCTAGGAGGCAGGCTTTATTTCGCTCCCTGCGTTTCCCCGCTCTCAGTGACTGCGGCCTGGCTCAAGTCCTCAGTCATGCAAATGTGATGCCTCCTTCACATTTGCATGACGGGTGGTCCACTCTACTCCTTGGTAGTGGGGAGATCAAAGGTACCCGTGTGCAGGTTGGGGACAGGACACTGCGATTGAGGACTGGTACAGGGGCACCATCGCTAAGTTCCACTAGGAGTTCGGCCTGGTGCTGGGGATGAAATTCCGTGATAGAGCATGTGTCCCACATGTGTGTGGTCAGCTCTGGGTTCAACACTGAGGGAAAGGGTGGACAGGGGAGCCGGAAGTCCCCTTCCCGGGAAACTTTATAATAGTCTCTAAGGCTTTTATCACAGTTGTGAACAAGGATCCCTCTATTAAGGATAGAAGGCCCATGCCATGTCCTCTTGCCTCCATGACCGGCTCACCAACCCCGACAACAAACCACTTTTCTCTCCAGCCAGCTGATTTCCAAAGCCAGCACAGGGCCACCAAGCCGTGCGAACGGCCTGCCTTCCCCTTTCACATCTTATCCCACCTGCTCTGAAGAGCTGGGACTTTTCATTCGCCCCCTATACTTGAGCCATCCCGACCCTCTCGTCACCAAAGGAAGTCCTCATCCTCCCAAAGTGGTAGAGAGCCTCACAGAGATCGGGGCAAAGGTCTATTGACAGTTCCCCAGGACCGCTTAGACAAGCCTGTTCCTATTGTCTGGTTTTGTCCCAGCCCCCCTCCCCCCAAGAGGTAAAAAGAAAACTGAACTTCCTTGGAAGACTGAGTTTGCCAGACCCCCCAGTCACTCATTACAGAACCTCCCTGGGGGATTCACATCCCCGCCGAGCTTC